CAAGGTGGGCCTCGGGGTGGATTCATATCCAGTGAGCTAAACCAACACCCAAGATGATGATGGCTTTAGTAATTGCGGCTTTAGAAACAGCAGCATTATTGCTGTGCTGTTTCCTCACGACAACAAGGAGAAACAGCAAGTGTCCTTGTTCTTGCAGAGTCTCTAAATGGAGCATTAAATGGAGCAATAATAATCAACCTTAACATTCTTTATGTAATTTCAGAGAATAAACAATAAATGCTGTTGTCGCGCATGTATGTACACGTGCATACAAAAACATACATTTCGGTAAATGAGTGAAGGACATTTCAGAGCAGGCCGCTAAACAATAAATAAAACATATCGGCGTCTCCCGTCGCTGTAAGTGCAAGCACCGCTGCTGCTGACGCATCAGATGTGCTGCCTGCAGTGCACCACAGAAGTTGGGAATTAGGAGTTACAAATAACATATGTCATGATGATGTCTGGACTTTTAGTTGGACTTGAGCTTAGTTTTCCCTTCTGTCTTCATGACTGTCACCAGCTCGACACATTGTGCTTGGTAGTGAAACCATTTGATTGACACTGCTGTAGAAATAATACGGGCTTGCCTTTTCAGCTCACTTATTTTCTGGCCCCGCAGCTGTCCTTGGAGCAGTTTTATCTTCTTGCTAAAACAATAAATCATCCACTGTAAGTGAACCACATCGCCTTTGGCCGAACAACGATGAACACACATGCACATGACTGCACAAAGAATTTAAACACAGACGTGCAGAGTGCTCGCAATGTCGCTGCAACCATCCGACTGAGTAAAGCTGTTGAACTCACATTTTAACATCCCTACTGTGTAACGTACGCAAGCTACAGGTAAGATACGTTGCACACTGTGTCTCCTGAATGCATCTTACATATTAAAGAAGTTCTTTAGCCATTAGGTTTCCTAGCAGCATCCATCCTGTTTCCTCCTGCAAATGTTTTAAATATGTTTTTCTTGCCTGAATATTGTTGTTTGGTGCGAAGAAGCATTAATAATAATAGCATAAATGTGTAAAGCTGCTATCACAGTATGTCAGCTGTCAAGAAATAAATAAAAATAATAATAAAATGTTATCTGTTTGCAGCAGCATGCATGAGAAAAAACTGCAAAAGAACAGAAGAAAGAGAAACAAGGAAAGGAATCATTCCCCAGCTATCTCACTACATCAGTATTGTCTGTTGTATATATTTATTTTTGCTAATGGCATAATCACTAAGTCATGACAGGAAACTCCTTTCTGCAGCTTTGCATTTCATTAACTGCTTGGTGATAAATTGAGAAATTTGAGCTCAACATCTCCCCTCTGCTCCTTCTACACCTCCACCTACCAGAGTTGTGAACAGCACTTTTTCTCAGCCTGTTGATGTTTCTGATGACAGCTGCCATTTCTACAAATAGCCTCGGATGTGGTGAGAACATTCACAACCCTGTCCTACACCACTTTGCTCTTGACAACGTGCACGAGTGGGTGGGGAAGCTGTAGCTACATGGATACAGATATTTTACTGTTCACTGTTTGCCTGCTGATAAAGCAGGATGCAAATCTAATCTGTGGAGTAGATGCACGTACTGTTTATTTATCCATATCCGCATGGGATTATATCGAAGTGGTGCAACATAGCCTCATTTATGATGGTAGCAGCTCTGGGAGGGTGTGTTTCATTAGGATCACTTGTAAAATTTCGAGCCTAAAACTCAATTACAAAGGCAGCGTTAAAGAAAAACTGCAAATCTTTATCAGATCAGATGAGGAACAGCAATCTTTTTGCCCATAGCAGTTATGAGTATACCTTCATTGTAAGAATAGCGCATATTTACATTTGCTTTATCACATTCAACAAAGTTAATTTGGACTTCAGTTAAGAAGTGCAGGGTAACACACTAAAGCAAAATGAAAAATACTGTTGAAGCTAAATTTTTCGGTCTGATCACATTTCAGCTTGTTCATCATTTAAGGCATTTTCTAAATTAATACGTGTTTTCCCTGCACAGCATGGCACTACTTAGTCCATAAAGCACATTACGATGCCTGTTTTAACAGATGACATCACAGAACCCAGAGGAAGCCGGACTTATCACTGCACAACCTCATATAACGAATGAGATGGGAGGAAGTGAAATGAAATGATGAATAATGTGCTCGTTAAATTTGTACTTTTTCAACTTGCAAAACATTTCCCGCAGCTGATCACACGACAGACAAACCCGTGATATCACTGCTTCTCACATTATTAAATATCTCTGCTCCCTGATACCTGGTGTGACCTGCACTGCAGGAGACAGCACGGAGGAATTAGATTCAGTCTAAATGTCCGGGTCAGGCCGAGAGTTTTTCTTTAACATGGACATTTGGCAAAATCCTTTGATCCAAGTTGGATCTTGCTGAACTAATCGCATGAGTCAGCAAAACTTCCAAAGCACAGTTTCCTTTACAGCCAGGACACACTAGAAAGAAAAATAGGATGACAACCTCCGTGGGACTTAGAGAAATTGATGGTTATCCAGAGATCACAAAGATTTTTTTCACTTTCAGCGACCGACTCCAAGTTAACCAACTGAGCTGAGTTTGCAACCACTGGCTGACCACAGGTCGAGTAGTGGGAGGCAATCACTCTCAGACAGATTGGTGAAGGTTCACAAAGTATTGACATGTAATTTATAAACACAAACAGATTCCAACAAATTTCTGTTAAGTGTGAATTTCTCTGTGTATGTCAACATATTTGCAATTTTCACTTATCACAAACAGATTGCATACAGTCTCCAACTTGATTCCACTCAATTGCAAACTGACACCAGACTGATTTGGTTCTATTGCCATTTCACTATAAGTTGGGTGCAAGAGGTGACAGACCCAGTACGTTTCTTCAAAACGAAAGTCAGAAAATGTACACGCGTTCTGACAGGATATACTATTGTTAATTGACAGTGTCATCATTTTTAGTTACTTTTTGCATTAGAATTAACATAGCCTGCATCAAAAACATGGTGATCAAGTCAAATACTAATGACAAAGTGCATTTTGTGAGGATAGGAGTGTTGAAAGGTTCACAGAGTTAAACGATGTGGGAGAAAGATGGGTGGAGGTGGACAGCAGAAACGATGACATCAAAGAAAGTAAAAGAGTGTGGAAAAGAGGGCAGGTGTAGAGGTTTCTGCGCTGTTATCAAATGCCATCGAAATTAAAGTCAGCGTGAGGTTAAGTGAAGAGGTTAATGTCACTACTGGGGACCTTTAAACTTAACTACAGTTTTCACAGATCAGATGTGAACTATCTGAATATAACCTGTGGTATTTTGATTTTATTTTGCACCCTCAGCAGTCCTTCACTTCCTGTTACAAGTAGTGGTTGATACACACATGCACACACACACCAACACACACAGTGTTAATTTGACTTGCCAGGGAGGAAATAGTGTGATTCGCTTGAGTAGGTCCCTGGACATGAATCTAAAGACAGTAGGGAGCGTGCAGAGCAATCAAGTGATAAAGCTTATTATCTGAGAGGAGCTATATTCTAAGACTTATTATCTACCAGGAGTTAAATGACTTTCAGGTCCTCAAAGGCCTGGTGGCCTGGTTTGACTCGGCAGGAGAGAGAAAAGAGAGGTGGCAGGAGGAAGAGGGATGGTAGAGGACAAGTGAAAAGGGAAGGAAGAGAAATGTGTGAGAGAAGCAAACAGGTGATGCCGGCGAAGGGGAGGGAGATGAGAGGGGGGAGGAAAGGAAACCCAGATGTGAAGAAGGAGGAAGAGGAGGCACAGAGGTGGAAGAGAAAACCAAGAGGATCAGAGGGGAAGTTGAAAGGCAAGGTTGGGAGAGGAGAAGGTGATTCATAGGCGTGGGCAGTCACTTTTCTGTCTTCATACAACTGCTGAGAAACCAATCTTCTGTTTAGGGTTGGCAAATATACTCCACAAAGCTGCAGGGTTCTGCATTGTGTCTTTGTTGAAGCAGTTCAGGTAGTTTACCACTATAGATACTGTAGATAGTTTATTGCCTTGGATACCACAGGTGTTGGCATAGCAACAATAGATTTGGAGTGTCTGTGCTTACTAGGAGCAAACATCGAGGCTGAACTGTTACTTCACTTAAGGATGAGCTACCACATGATTGATACAGTGGAGCAGACTTACAGCTGCAGCTGTACTGTAGTGCATGCTTAATGTGTTGTCCATTATCAGAGAAACAGATGTAATATAAAACAATCAGACTGGGTTTTTTTGCATTTTTTCCAGCGTGAATGAAACAAGCTGAGGGGAGGAAGTGATGGGATTCATTCTGGCATAGCACGGCACATGAAAACAGCGTTGTCACATTTGCAGTTTACGTTGCAAAAGCTTTGAGTTAAAGTAGCACACATAGTACTTTTTAGGGATGAAAAGTGACTAGACTACTGTCTCAAACATTTAGGACTGTAGGTCTATAAATCCATGCTTTTTCTGTTCCCTCGGGGGTCTACTCTCTGGTTTGGAAATAATTTTGGATCACATGCTTCTGAGCATCAATCAGGGTTTGTTGGTTTTGTTATCTTTGACTTCGATTTATCCAATAAGGTTATTAACAAATGCCTTACTGAAAAAAAAAAGTCCAACATTCCCCTACTTAACAAGTATTTAATGTCCTAATACAGAGTTATCACGGTGAACATATTTAACCATCAAGTCAGCTGTGAGTTTAATGTTAGCCCAGTGCCTGTCTAAACATACAATATTGACAAAGCTGATGCAAAGTATGGGCTGTTTAATCAGAGCAAGTGTTTTTCTATGCAAATGAACTGAGCACTCTTTTGACTTAAAAGGCAAACTCACTGCAACAGCATGAACTGAAGAAGAAGAAAAAGCTAACAGGAATTTTAATAACTAAATCAATTAACACAGTGTCCATTACCTGCAGGTCAAATTACTTCCTGATTTCTATTATCTTGGATAGTAGGAAATACATATTTCTTAAGACATGACACAGACTACAACAAATTGCCTTGGTTCGTTAAGATTATTCTTTATTATGAAGTGCCACAAAATGCTTTGTGTTCATTGTGCTTACATTGTCTGAATACTGGCTCAAAAAAACCCAGGAGGTCCTCACTCTGCAACAGAGATCCAACCCTCCTGAGGTAAGGTGTGTCAGATATCACTATACAGCAGTAAAAATGTCTCAATCCAAAGGATTCTTTACAAACCCTCTTGCAATAAATGATTATTTAGGTTTATTACCATTCTTTAACTTGAAAATACAAAAAAGAAGAGAGGTCAAGCTAGTACAAGGTTTTTAATTCTTCTCTACCTGAATTCTAGTTAGTTTCATTGTGCTACTTTCTTTAGGGTGGAGATGACTAAAATGGAAGTGCTTAAAGAGGCCAGACCAGGAGCTTGGCCAGAGACAGACACACAGACAAACAGACTCAAAACGAATCCTTTCTCCTTTAAAAACCACTTAACAGCCACACGTCCACTTTAGCCCTAATACATTTAGACTACAGTGCAAAGTTTCAACCAGAGTTTACAATGATACAATTTGGGATAAGTAAACAGAGAAACTGCAGAGATGATACTTTCACCCTTTTTTGTCCTATTCTTACGTCTACTATCAGTGTCTGAGAAACGTGTGTAGAAAAATAAAGGTGCTGCTTTTGTTCTCTTTGCGTAAAGGGAATCGCAATCATGCTTTTAACACTGTTTTTGCAGCTGTTTGCCTTTTTTGTATTTATAACTGTTGTTGGGTATTTTGGCCAAAATCATACATAAAAAGGCAAAAGTGCTCGGCCATAACAGACTGGAGCGCTATGACTAATCATCTGATACAATTCAAGTAATTGCAGCTCAAATCTAGTTCATACATCAAGAAAGGAGATAAGACCTACAATTTGCTGACTCACACACTGATTCCCTCAGTCACAACAGAAGTGCTTCCTTTAATATTGCCTTTAAAAAAAGTTTCTTTGGAAAATATAATTGTATTGTACTGTGTTATTGTGCGGCAAAGCATTTATCACAAACTGTAGACTTTTTGACTTTATAAAATTGTCAACCATGGCTGCCTTTGATCATTCATCTCTGAGATAAAAATTTGTTTAGCTAATGCATTCACATAACCGTGCTGTCCTTTTGTCCGTGTGCCCTTATAAACTGTGTTCAATACGGGCCAGTCCGGACTTACACTGAGTGTCTGAGGAAGCACTGCAATTACAAAAAGCTTTCTTTGTTAAAGATTCACATCTGAATATTAAACCTGTTCTATTTTTTTAATTGCTCAAGCTTCACTGTACACAAAAGTTTAGTCACCCCAAATGGCTCGTCAGCAGGCACCGTGTGCTCACATGTGAGGACATGCACCCATGCATCTGTGCACCCGTGTTTATGTTTCTATGCGAGATTACGATGTCGACGTGCTGCATTTTATGATGAACACACAAACATTTTCCTGTGCAAATCTGTGTGTCCTCAGTCTGTCTCCTGGGAAGCTCCATGAATCTGTAGAAAAGGTTTCTGAGCTGCAGAGAACTGGGTTCAGCAACACTGGTATTGACCACCTAGATTAAAGGTTAAATCTTCCATGGGGTCGGGGTTGATTAAAGTTAGCCTGTCCGTAGGTTTCTCGATCTTAGAGTTACCCTTCAGTTGGCCCAGTAGGGGTGAGGGGGGCCTACTGCAGAATAATCAGGACTCAGTCTGGTGTATCTACAACAGTTGTAGCTAAGCTGCAATCTGACCATCAAGCTAAAGTGCATGCTGTTCCTGTGGTTTAAGAAAGCACGCTTTATGGGTTGGAAGTGAACCGGAAGAGCAGATGAGTAATTGCATTTCGGCTGAAGTCGACTTTGGTTCAACTTCAACTAAACTTTGTTGTTAACAGATAGCAGCTGCATGTCATATATGCTAGCTGTCAGTTAAGGGTGATGGATATCTTATTGCATATTTATCCAATCTGACTGCTATTTTAACCTTAACATAAAGATAAAATTGCTGTTATTAAACTTGGCCGACTGTGACAGGAAATACTGTTTAAACACATTTAAGTGTCATTTTGCCATCTCATAAACATCAGTAAACCACTGAATTTTGATGTATGGCCAATTATCCAATCTAAGTATAATGAAAAGGCCTGAGCCAAAGTAAGGCCTTGTTTGTTTTTGTTAACAATTAAATCACTAGAGCTATTGCAGAGCAGGGCAGTCAGGGTCATACAGTAGTTATCCTACAATAGGCCTCTCACCCAGCAGGCAGCTGATCCCAGCCTCTCTAGTCTACATCCTACATTAGTTCTACTCACTAAGAGGCAGGCAGTGCATAACAAGAGAGGAAAGACAGGACTTTTCTTTTTGATACTCTAACACTACATTGGCATGTTCCCTGATGTCTGTAATATTAGTATTTTTTCTGTTTATGACTATAGGTGAAGTAAAACATACCTGATTTTTAAACTGCTATACAGTAGTAGGTAATACTTCATAACTTCATCATAAAATACCATGCATTAAGTGATTATTGCTTTTAAAGAGTCCTATGGAGGCTCCAAGAGAAAAAAATAATAATATTGCCCTCGGGTTCTAGCTATAGGATTTTGGCAAAAATCATAAGCTTTTTATGATGTTGGCATAGGTTTTCATAATTTTTTTCTGTTTTCTTTTTTTTTTTTTGCATGCAATAACGTTAATAAGAAAAAAGGTATTAACAACATAATAGGAAAAAATAGTACTCAAAAAAGTGACATATGCTTTGGCCTGTAGTGGTAAAAAGAGGTTGGCAAATATCCTACATACATATACAGAAATTAAAGTGCAACAAATAAATGGCAACACTTTTCATTGTTATCAAATCAAGTATAAACACATAAAAAAGAAAAAAAAATGTCAAAACAAATAAATCAATAAATAAATAAATAGTATTTTGACCTCAGTAGTGGAGAGAATATGGTCACTTGGTGCAGCAGAGCATTATTATCATTATTATTACTATTATTATTACTATAATTCTTCCAAAAAAGAAACAAAATCAGAATGAAAAAACTTTCACTGCATTTGAGTGCAGGGAGGAAACTAGTAGCTATAGGCTTACTATTGTCTTTGTCGTCATCCTCATCGTCATCCCTTTTTCCAAAATATACGGAGTCATACTGTATCTAGAAGCCAGGAGGAAGTCAGTATTAATGTCTCCATCCTCAATGGACAGAGGAAGAGGACGTGAAGAGTTTTGTTTTGTTTTGTTTTTTGAGGAAGTGCATGCGTCGATCAGTTAAATCCTTAAGTGGGCAAATCTCAAGGAGAAAAAATTGTGCTATCTTCATCATATTCATTATCACGAATAGGCTCCAAGGAAGGCGAGGTGGGGGAGGGGGCAGAGGGCCAGTGAGGAGGGGTGAGGAGGGAAAGCAAGGTCACATTCTGACCCAAAAATATATTGTTTGTGTCTGCAGTTAAGTCCGTAAGGGTAATTGTAATTCACGTCTGCAGTTTTGTCTCGTTTGATCTATATGGGGGGGTCATGCATCTAGGGGGCCGAGAGGAGAGAAGGGGCCTTTGAAGCAGGCAGACTCATAGTGCTTGTTCAGGTAACTCTTGAGCGCGAAGGTCTTGTTGCAGCGTTTGCACTTGAAGTGTTTGAAGGCCGAGTGGGTCTGCATGTGAGCGCGCAGGTTCGAGCGGTCTGCGAAGGCCTTCCCACAGTGGGCGCACCCAAACGGTTTCTCCCCTGTGTGCGAGCGCATGTGGCCCTGTAAAAGCCAAGGTCGGCTGAACGCCTTTCCGCACACGTCGCACTTGTGCTTGAGGTCATGAGTGAGCAGGTGCATGGCCATGGCGGGCATGGACACGTACACCTTCCCGCAGGTCGGGCATTTCTTTGCCAGCTTGCTGTCCAGCGAGCGATGCGTTTGTTTGTGCCGGCTCAAGTTGGAAGACGTGGCATAGGTTTTGCCGCACTCGTTACAGGTGTGCCTCTGGATGGTCCTGGGGCTGCTGAGAGCTTTCCTCTTCGAGCGGCCATCGGTGATGAAGAAGGCATCGACTGTGTAACCCTCGCTCACTGCAGCGTCTCCATTGATATAACCATCCGTGAGTTCTGAGCCAGGGCTGTCAGGAGACTCAGAGTCGGGAGCCCCATAGTCACTGTGGATACCATCGTAGAGAGGATCAGGAGAGGGGACCTTGATGCCACTGTCACTCTCACCATCGTACACAACAGGGCTGATGTAGTCACTGATGTAACCAGCTGTTAATGGAAAACAGACAACAGTATTAGCATATTGAAAAGAGAGCTCATCTTAACATGGTATGGAAATTTAATGGTGTACAGGACTTGACCAAAACATTAGTTACTGGTGCCCCCATTGACATAACTTGATAGGTAGTAAAGAAACTGCTATGTTAAGATTAAGGTGGCAAAACATTTTCTCTGATCACAGAGAGATCCATACCAACAGGAAATGTGAAGGGCATTAATTCCTGCATGCGGAGAAAACTGCAGGAAACACATGAATAAGTCCAGATTAGCATTAAACTGCTGTAGCCTGCTAGACAAGCTTATCTTTCAGTACAGATACAGTAATGACAGAGATTCAGTACGCTGACCAGAATTACACAATCTGAATTGGTGGAATTAAATAAGCGCTTACTCACTGATGCAAACTATTATAATATGCCATTTGGGATATACAGCTGGCTTTACACAGCTGTGTGATGTTTTCCCCTGAATCTTCTTCCCACTCGAGTGCATTTATGTTTATAATAAAGACATAGAGAAGGGATAAATATTTCAAACAGCTGGTTCATCCCACCAGTAACTTGTTGCTGACATGTTACTGTAGAAACACAAGAAAGCCTCCACCAAGTGTTATGGGCAACAACAACAAAACAACAGTGACATGACAGGTGTTACTGTATTATATTTGATGAAAAACCGATTTGAATTTCCTTTTAAATAAAACCACATATGGCACCAAAGTATGTGAAACATAAGGCAACAGTAAGATCTATTCCTCATCTCACTCTAAATGTAGAGATATAGATTTTAAGAGGCTTTTCAAATGTGAGTGAGCACACCACCGTAACACTGCCACATCTGTGTCCAAGTCAGATCCCTGCATTTGTCTTGCAGATATGACAGTCTCTGTGATCAGCTCACAAACAGCAGATCAGCAGCAACAGGAGCTGCACGTAAAAAAATCTGAATAGACATTTTAAAATACTGAGCGTTAGTCACTTGCCTGCATAACTGTGGATCTTAGCGGTGTATTGAAAGGGTCTGCAGGGTTAGGGTTTGTTCAGGGATAATTCAGCAATACATTTCCCTTAGCCATCAAAGGCTGCAGTCAAGACACTTCTTCTGTAAATGGTAAATGCACACAAGCTGACCCTGAACTCGAGAGAGCTGATTTAGCGTGTGAAAATGAGCATCAGCACCACGGACAGATCCAGTGCAGTGCGTGTCAGGGGCACAATGACGGCAGGCCTGCAGTACCGGCTTGTGGTGTGGTGTTTCTTTTCTTTGTTTCACAAATCTGTGGAGTTGATGACTTGGAGGACAGGCTTTAATTACAGGAATCCATTGAAAAGCTGTACAGGGACACACAGCACAGTCAGCTTATGCTCCTGTTCCCTGATGATTGATGCATTTTTGGAGAAAAATAACGCTCATTCAAATTTTATGTGGAAAATAATACATATGTACTTCTTTAATGTGTACTAACCAGCATTATATATAAACAAATGGGTCATACATTCTTAGATTTAAGCGTAAATCAATACCTTTGTCAAAATGCACTTGTTGTACACTGTTGTTTATGTTTTTAATATGGATCGACAGGTTGGATAAGTTAATAGCTCCAATTCATCCTTAATTGTCCCTGAAGACAAGCTAATAGTGGCAATATTAGCTGAGCTTATATCAAGCTGCTCCAACAAAAACTATCAATAGAAACACATTAGGTTCATCACATAATAGAGTGTAAAAATGAACTGGAACAATAACCAACCTATAAGATAAGATCCAATTAATCAATGTTTTTGAGAGGCTGTTATTGTGATGAAAGCACGAAATAATGACCACAGGTTTTGGGACACCTGCGTCGTAGATTCCTGTGCTCATTACTTATGTAGTCTCGGTAATGAACAAGCAACAAGCTCCATGTGACGCACATATTCTATCTCTCCACGTATGATCACAGCCATGTAACATCCACTACAACGTCCCGTCACATCATTCACTCACAGGACGCAGGGCGGGACATAAATTATTCCAAAGCCGGTTCGTTCAAGCAGAAGGTTGTTCCCAACACTGCGTTCTGCTGTGGGCTGACTCTGCTCCGAGCCATGTAGAAGCTGCATTAAGCTGTTAACATCGCATGTTAGGGATGGAGACAAAAGGTGGCCGGGACAGGCTGAACAGGCGGCTGATGGCGTGTGAGACCTAGCAGGGCTTGTTAACTTCGACGTCATAAATACATCGCTGACAGCTTTCTTGCTTTACGTGCTGAGAATCACAGATAGGTCCGCGCATGGGACGCACATGTTAGCCTATGGATGACACTGGGACGGGAGTCATGCGGTCTACACGGGCAGAGGCATCGCTCTCTTTCTTTTCTTCCCCCTGTAAAATGTGACGCACATAGTTGCAGGTTGTGCGGAAGTTTTCAGCTTTGGAGGAGCACAAAACAGCCAATCATTTTGAGTCTTTTCAGGATAATTACAAAAGTCACCCTCATATGGCTAAAGAAACGTCTGAAAATGGTATAAGAGAAGAAATGCATCCACATTCAACAGTTACAGCGTCATAGCCACGGTGCAGAAATCTGCCAACACTGCAAAACTGGGACAGGCACACCTGTACAGAGCACGAGGGGGAAGGGCCACGCACAACGTCGGAAGATGAGCCTGAGATGAGACTCGTTTTATATGCAAAGAAGAAAGCAATGTTTCAGGGAAACATTAAAAACCTGAGTGTTTTACAAGACAACGTTAAAACGATGTGTATGCTTCACCTGCAGGCGAAGGTGAAGACTTATGTCAGAAGACCATTATGCAGCTTTTACACACACACACACACACACACACACACACACACACACACACACACTTATCAGGAGATAACCACGATGTTCCATCAGATTATTTTCTGCAAACTCAGAGCTACATGGGAGGCAGCTCTTGTGCATCTCAAACATCACCCCGAGCTTGCAGAAGCATAACCGCAAAGGGTTTCGACTAAAGCCAAGTGAAAGTGAACTCGATATGAATAACCACTGTCCCGTTTCTGTCTCCTTTAAGCTTACTTACACTGCGAAGGGAGAGAAAGACCCCGCTGGGTGTAAGCCAGAATCGATGAAACATGCGACGCGCTTGATTTAGTTGATTTCACAAGTGACCTTTTCGCTTCGGCGGCAGCTCAACTCCTAGAGTTGAGCCCAAACGCTTCGACCGAGGATAATGTAACTTATGTACCCCGGTAAATAAAGTCTTAGACTGTGCGGTGTGGTAACATCCGGTTATCAGAGTGCATAGTTTTATGAGATTGACAGGTCTTCTGTGTTTTACTGTCCGAGCTCTTTTGCAGAAGTGAAGCAGCATGCAATTCTTTCACAGTCTGTGCTATTGATAACGCTTTGCTCCACTTTGATATTTTTCAATGCGCTGATTAGTGGAGGGCTTTGAAGCTTTTATTACCCGTGAGAAAAGTAACAAGCGTGTGGTAACTCTATGCTGTCTGATGTTTTGTAATTATCTGCCTTGATTACACCCACATCACCCCACAGGTAGCCAGCCACTCTGCAATAAGTTTCAGAGGTTATTGATGTTAGATGATGCTATACGCAAGATAAAAGGTGAAGAAAAAACGAAATGCTGTGCTGATACACTCTGAGTTCACGCTTACATTTTATAATTATTGGTTGGCAGGAATGTGCACCGGTGTATCAAGCCCCAGGGTCAATTTTTAACGACCAATCACAGGAGGGAATCCCTTTAAGGCACAACAGGTAAATCCTGTTGAAGTCTCAGTCTTATTTCGGAAACATGTTCCCACCTTCGCCAACCTCCTCCTCTGTGAAATCGATTTTCTTCCGAGACACCTGTTAGTGCGCGCTGTGTAGGCTGCATGACCTACCTTTGTCATGTAGCCGCAGGCTGAGGTCTGTCCTGTGCCGGTAGGCGTTCTCCAGATCCGCCCCGGTGGAGAAATCATCCAGTTTCACCTTTTTTACCAGGAAAGACCTTGGCATGGTGGTGAGACACCGACAAGCTGCGCACACACACGCACTCACAAACACAACGACCCACACTCGCAAACACAGCCGATCGCCGACAGGCAGGCCAGCGTGGTGATTCGCCCGTGACACACCAATCAGACCGGCGGGCCGGGGGAAGATTGTCTTCAGATTGGGGAGAAAGCGCGAGCCTTGAATTGATCCGGTGAAAGAGTTGACGATCAACAAGCGCTTGTGTGTTCTTCCTCTTCTGCTCCGGTCTCTCTCGCTGTCGTCTGTCCGCCCCGTTTAGTCCTCGCGCACAGGAGGAAAGAAATGCAACTTCAGCACCGGACAGCTCCCTCCGAGGCGCGGGGAGGGGGTACGGGGGAGGCGAAGGGGTTGCCTCGTGCTCTTTTAAGCTCGTGGGAAGGCTGCAGACCAGGGGATAGAGGGCTCACGAGCAGTCAGGGGAGATAAATAAATAAATAAACGAAACAGGCGATGGAAGACACCCCGCAACGCGCTCGGGCCTCTTTAAAGAAGAGGAAGAGGAGATGGAGCAGGGAGAGGAGGAGGAGGATGAGGGAGGGAGGGATGCGAAGAAAACAAGAGGGAAAATTGAAGGATAATTTTTGGAAGCTTTTCAGTAAGAGAAAAAAACCTCGTCCTCCCCTCTTTGCCAGAGAAATTAGTCCTTTATTCCACCTGATGACGACCACTCAGGCCGGTAAGAAAAAAAAAGAAATCACAGTAAGACTCCCTGCGGACGGATACATCAACAGCATCCCTTCTTTCTCTCCTCTCTGTATCCCTCTCTCTCTCTCTCTCTCTCTC